CGGCCCTGGCTTGCATGGCACCGTGCCTTCTCCGCCCGGCGTGGACAGAAGCGAGCCCATCCCGGACCGCAAGGAAAGCGCGTTGATGGAACAAGCTACGGACAGGAAAGCTGCTAAGGAGCCCAAGAGGCAGAGTCATGCAGAACCTTGGTTTGGCGCCTGTTCGCTTGTTGGCATCATTCAAAGTTCTGGCGCGTGTCAGGTGAGGGAATCCTACAGTCCTACATGTCCTGCAGCAATTCTCCGATTTTCGCAGGAGGTCGCTTCTTGCCAGCCCAGCCTGGAACTGCTTTCAAACTTGTACTCAGGCCATGCATGACTTGACTTGAACGAGTACCGAGGCTTCCAGAGAGCGGGAAGAGCATGATAACACAACGCCCAAGCCGAAGTCTTCCCCAAACGGCCAAAGCCCAAGCAATATGCAAGACAGAGTGGAATTCCCAGATCAACTCGAAGCTGTAAACGAGTAACCTACGAGAACCATCATGCCGCCCCTGCCACGTGTTGCAGCAGTGTGTGCAAGACCCCAACCATCAGGATTATTGCCATCACCAGCCACAATCGTAATCATCGTTATTTTTACGGGCCGGCCAAAACAATAAAAAACGATCGCCAAAAGCTCCGGAGTCTGGCTGGCTCTAGGCTTCAGAATATTCGCAAATCAACCTGGCTTGTTCGTCGGCCTGTGTTGGTGCAGGAAATCAAGGCCCAGCAATCCGACACCCTTCATATAATTAGGGGCCTTAACAATTGGAAATATATTATAATTAGAATATTAGGAGCCCCCAAAACTAGTACTGGTGTGTTGGTAAAATATTTAAGCCCCCTACAGTGCCTTGGGAGAACCCCCCGAGCCGCTGCCTGTGCCGAAAGTGCTCATGCCAGCGCTTCGGTCGAGACCTTTGCTTGCACAGGTTTGCACGGCACCTTCTTGACGTTGCCGATGTGACCCCCTTATCATACGACTGTTCTTTGTAGTCAATTACCAGCATCACATTTGTGCCATTATCATTCTCACTGAGGCTATGCTTACCAGAGTACTACTACGAGGACGACAGCTACCGCTACATTAGTGCCACTGCTGCGGGGGGTCCTACCTTCCACTGCTACCGAAAGTAGCAATTGGCAAGCATACGTTCTGGAGCGGTCGGCAAATGTAGCCTGTTCAACTGACTATGCACCTGCTACTTTGCACGAACACATGCGAAAAAAACACCGCAAACACCCGGCTCTCCAACTGTCTCTGTGTGTGTGTGTGCGTGCGTGTGCGTAAACACATAACAGTATGTATGTGAATGTATACATATGTATATATATACTTACATTTATTTATCTATTTTTCATATACGTAAATTCAGGACTGTGCACCATGAATGTGGAAGGTCGCTTCTCTCCTGCATTGGGGTTCCCTTGCCACTCCCACAACAAGGCCGCTGCAAACGCGCCAGGCAAGTTGGAAAGGATGGATTGGACGATGAAGCTCAAACTTCCTTGGCTGCGGCCATGCAGGTGTTGAATGTTCTGGACCATGGGTTTATTGGAACATCAGACTATGATAGGATTGGGAAGATTGAGCTGTGGACGTTGGGCTTCCCTCTTCGAGGCGGCATGGCATGCTGCTGGGAGCACGCTTGTGAAGAACCTCTGTTCCGGCATCTGGCAGCAATGATCCTACGATTTAGCCCATCTGCAGGGCGGTTCCTCTTATTGTGCAGTCGTAAACTCGTAAACCACGTGAAAGTGCTTCTTCCTTTTCTTTTTTGATCAGGGGCCTCGCCCCAAGCGGACTTCGGCATTGGACGACAAGCCACCCAAGAATCGGTATTTTCCGAATGTCTGCGGACAAGAAATACATCCATTGCTGTTGTTCTGATTCTCATAAGCGCAACTATGAATAGCAGCACAGCTTCATAGGTTGAATGTTTAGGCACGGGCTCTCTGACGATCTCGAGCAAGCTCCCCAAAAGAGAAGGTGCACGTGTGCAACCGGAGTGTGCTTCTTGGAGTCTGTGTGAAGACCGGGACTCAGCACGATCCTTGTAAGATGAACTAACTTCTCGTACTCCCAGGCTCATGAACCCCTCATGTACCTGATCAAGTCCACTCATCTCAACTCTACACATCAGCCCGGAACTTTACGGATCGATGAAGCAGCGGAAAACAAAACTTCAGGCAAGACTCTGCTCCACTTCCGCGGTGTAGCTTTGAGCCTCCGGAGGCGCTCACATGATGAAGATCTTGACGGGGATCAGGCTGACGGTAGTTTTAAGTGCATTCAGGGCTGCAGCTTTTGACACCCGTGTTGTGAAAGTGTGTGTTGCACTCGGGAAGAAGAAGCAATTGCAGTTGTAATGCTGGTGTCACGTCTTCCTTCTTGGCTTCCTGTAGAAGAGCTCCTGGAGGCAAGCTCTCTTACTGTCATGGTCCCTTACGCCTTAGGATGTCTACTCGTGGCGCTGGATATTAGTGCGGTGGGATATTCTGGGCGGGTACCCAAAATCTGGAAGGTGGTGACCAGTGACCAGCCTTATGTTGCCTGCAAGACTCTGACTCTTGGTTTCTCGGTGTTCAATGTCCTGAAGTACCTCTGTTTGCAGGCTGCAGAAAGTCTTCGCTGGACGACGATTTGCAGACTCAATGCCATTAGAATAATGGCCTCAATGATGCCCTCATGATGTGTTTTTGTCACTGCTTCTTCCGAGTTAGGGTGTGTAGGAAGGTTTAAATGGTTTCGCAGGTGGTTTACAAAGGCCCATGTAGAAGCCCTTATAAATAGGGTGTACAAGAGTGTCTATACGGGTTTCTAGGAGGACACTAAGAGACCACGCTTTGAACCCTGAAGCCCACCCCTCCTACCTAGCCAAACTTCACAAGAAGCTGGGGGGCGGACATGGCGGTTCCTCATTCATGCATCAGGATACCCACATGCACGGCGAGCAAAATGTTGGTAGGCATGCCATACAACCGAAAACGTAGGAAAACCGTAAGAATGACACTACCTGTTACTCGTAGACAAAAGTCATGACATCGTCATCCTCGACATCATCAGCAGCGGCAGCATCACTGTCGTCATCATATACTTCTTCCGCTTCAACGTCACCACCTTCTCATCGTGATAAGAACCATATGATGACGGCTTCTTGGTTATAGATCTTCGGCATACCGGGATACCGGCTAAAGGGAAGATATTTCAGTAATGCAAAAGAGGCAGCAGCTGTTCAAGCAGAAAGAGTTAGGATGGTAATTGTGCTGACCGAGTTTATAGACAGTAAGGAGAACGAACCAAGTACAACAGCAACAGCAGGCATAACCATGACTTGGGCGCAAACGTCGGCTCCAGGCGTCGCATGAATGTTGCGGGTGAGGGTTACAGTGAAGACTTCATTCAAGGTCTTAGACATGAATTCGCTCCCGCATCACAAGCCACAGCAAGCACGGCAAGTCCCTACACTACAACGATAGGCCGAGCAATGTTGCCTCGTCCTGCACATTGGAGTTTAGAGGTTTTGGGGCTTTACCACAGTTAGGCAAACTGGGATCAAGGGCGGTCGACAATGCCTGGCCAGCAGCTGAGGGCATGACGTAGAAAGCGTTTCTACGTGCTGTAGGGTCCGGCATGGTCTGTGGTCGGTAGTTACACTCGGTAACCCGGGAGCACTGGACCAAAACTGCCCCTCATGCAGGACATCAAGCTCTGGAACCAAACTGAATTATGGCCTCTAACTGCTGTCCATGAGTGCCTTCTTCAGTTTCGCCAGGTACGCATGCGTGCATACTTGCATGCGTACGTGCACAGATGCGAACATGAAGATTCACCTTACTTACTTACTTACTTACTTACTTACTTACTTATACTTACTTATACTTACTTACTTATACTTACTTACTTACTTACTTACTTACTTACTTACATACCTTCGTACATACATACACACATGCATGCATGCACACCCGCATACATACAAACAAACAAACATACATACATACATACATACATACCTACATACCTACATACCTGCATACAAACATACAAACATACATATACACATACATACTTACATTCGTTTAATTTCAGTTCATGTCATTTCATTCATTCATTCATTCGATTCAATTCAATTCAATTGACTTCAATTCAATTCAGTTCAGTTCAATTCAATTCAAATTTATTCATTCATTCATTCATTCATTCATTCCGTTTCATTCATTCATTCGTTCGATCATTCATTCATTCATTCGATTCAATTCAACCCAACCATTCATGCAAGTCAATTCAATTCAATTGACTTCAATTCAATTCAGTTCAGTTCACTTCAATTTCATTCATTCATGAATTCATTCATTCATTTCATTCATTCATTGCATATACATATACACATACATGGACACATTTATATACGTATACGATTACAGATACGTATGCACGTGCATGTGTATATATGAGAGAGAGAGAGGGATGTGTCTCTCTGTGTGTGTGCGAACCCTTGTGTGCATTTACATGTGCCCATGTATTTACATGCACGTGTGTGTACATGTGAAGAAAAAAATTATATATATATATATACATGCACACACACAAACACAAACACACACACACACACACGTCCACGTATACATATACAGTACGCATGTCTTGCTTCGTTCTTTGACTCTTGGCCTGTCTGGGGCTCCAACCCGAGGGCTTGTCGAACTTTCACCGGCCAGTGAAAGGAGCTCTTGCCGTTGGCATACCTCAGTGGGGTATTTCACGAGGCGGGTCGCGAAGTCAGGGGGCCGTTATCAGGTGCGTGCTGTTGCAGCGACGCGGCTGAGAGAAGCATAGAATAGAGAAGCATCTGCTAGACTCATACAATGTTCATGCAAAGAAGGCCCCAACTTGCCAAGAGTCCATCCATAGCACACACCCACACACGCACACTGTTGCGGACGCTTTCGCTTCGCATCTGATGCCTTCTGTCCGATGGAAAACATGATTACGACTGAAATCGAGACGAGTCGAGGTTTCAGGCAGCTACACGTACAACCACACGGCCCCTCACCAGACCACTCAGGAGCTTGTCGCCCCAAGCAGGCAGCTCTTCTAGTGGGATCGTGGCTTCATGCATGCGGCGCAAAGCTTGAACAGGCAGGTCCGTCGCCATTCGGCGCCAAATCTCCAAGCGCCGATCTCTGTTGCGTTGCCATTCTGCTGGGTCCTCATGCCCCCGGAGGGGTCCAGCAGTGCCGGGTATGGGGTCCGGAGAGCATGGAAGGAACAAGCACCATGACTGAAATCTATTCCGCAACATGCAAACTACATCCCCAAGTACCCTCAACATCAACACACAAGGGCAGTTAATTGCTTCTCGGCTTGTTTCTTCTGGGTATGCCTGCGGCTGTGTTCTGCTCCCGTAAAGGCCCCCTGCAGAAGGAATAGTTGAGTACTCCCCCGCGGCCAGACCTAAGAAGTTTGATGGAACTGATTCCACCCCTCATGCCCCAAAAAGGGGGCAACAGCTGCAGATCTCACAAGGCTCAAACTCCCATAAGCTATATACGAGTACCTCACATACCCTGCTTGTATTGCTCCACCAAGCCAGCAGCCACAGAGTGCCAAGAAGACCCCACGACCCTGGCATACGCAACCCAGAGTAGTCAAACCTGCCCATTTTAGTCAAACCTCATATCCGAGTCCTCCCCAAGGCCAGAGACATTCCAAGGCAGCGTTGAGTCCACGCCCAACAGTCGAACCCCACGCAGAACGAAGGGGAAAATTGTAGAGTCCAGGCCGCTCCTGAATCAGCTTCGAAGGGTGTTGGGGTTTAGGGTTGCAGGCTTCCGGGGTGAAGGTTGACACGATCTCTGAACCTGTCCACCTCCTGTATGCCACATAGCAGCCCAAGTTGGGGGGTTTTACAACAATGCAAAGAGAACTCCAGGACAAATGAACAAGTCAGTGCAGTGCTAGCATCTGCAGTATAGCGGCCCCCACCATGATGGCCTACAAAAGCGACCCTTGCGACGGAGGCTCCCGCCAGCAACACCGATGCAAGCGGCCGCACCCTGGAACTTGAGTTGTGCCAGGGCGGTTCCTGGGCGAGGCTCCCAATGCTTGAGCCATGTTTGAGTGCATTCCCCGCTCTTAGATCACAACACACACAGAAGTTGAATGCCCCCATTCGCCCAGAAAACGCCATCAAGTTACTTCACCTACATGTCTCGAAGCCGCCACGACCTTCTCCATGGAGACGCATAGACTACGAATTTCGCCCATCTTTCTATAGTTCACTCTCACATCCTGCCATGTATAAACAGAAGCACATTTCAACGAAGAACGTAGTTTTAATTCAAGCTCATCTTCGAGTTCGTGCAGTGTTTTGCATCTACCTGAGTCTACCTTTGTATACATGAGCGTATGGAATCCATGGCCGGGAGTCCGAGGGCTGGCCCCCCTGCGCAATCTACCACAGCCGCCCAGCGCTGGTCCTGAAAAGTTTAAAAGGGGCTCAGGATATCAATGTGTGCTTCGGCGTAGGTGGCGCCAGAGGGAGGGGGAGAGAGAGAGAGAGAGAGAGAGAGAGACAGAGGGAGAGGGAGACGGAGAAGGCAAAAGAACAAAAACAAAACAGAGCCGGTGTATAGGACGGCCTCGGACTTGCACCGTTTCAAAGTCACGCACACGCACACTTTTCAGAACTCTCCGGCTGTACCATGTGCATAACCTCGACTAATTACCCATAAGCACTGCCATGCGTAAGAACACTCAAGCCCGGAGTTGCAAGTGTCACACGTGGATGTCTAGATCGGCACTGCAAGGGCACCAAGCAAAGTCCCTGGTGATATTACGCTACCCCCGACACCCGAAACCGCCCGAAACCCCAAGCCTAAACTCTAAACCTCACCGTCGAAACTGTAGACTCTACAGGACTTTAATTCAACCTCGCAAAACCTTACAAGCCCCAAATCCAAAACCGTATCAAGCCGCAACCCCAAAGCAGGAGCTGGTGCCTGCAACGGTTTTTTGAGCCCAGTGGGCTCTAATCGGCCGATCACCTCCTTGGCGCCCAGCCTGACATATGGGGATAAGTATATCATACTCATATATATATATAACCAGCAGATCCGCAAACATATGTATATGGATGATATACATGTGTATATGTGTAGTATGACATTTTGTGATATAGAATCTTGTATGTTTTACCGGAACCTGAGTTGATTTTCGCGGCACAAGACATGCTCTTAACCCCCGCATGGCCAGCTCTGAAGCTGACTCTGTTGGTTCCGGTGCTTGAGAAAAAAAGCGGTTTGCTTTCGTGCCTGTAAAATTCAGGGGGTTGTACGGCCTGACCGAACTGTTTGGGGTTTCAGGTTTTGTATGCAAGTGCTTCGTAGAGTCCAGCCGGAGAGAGTCCTAGGAGGTCATATGGGAGTCTCAGAAAGCGAAGGGCCCTCATCTAAGCTTTAGGGTTTAGGGGATGTGTAGGCATCCTAAGAAGGGCCCCGAGAAAAAGGGCCTCTGAGTGTCCGAAAACCCACACTTCCTCGCCGAAGTAAAATGCAGGACTCCAAAGAGGCGCCCCAAAAACAGAAACTTGGAGGTTGAGGGTCCTCCCTTCGTTCCGGAAGAATCGGGCAGTTCAGTTCAGACTGAAGGCTCAAGTAGCTTCATGAACTCATTGTTAGGGCTCGGGGATGTGAAGGCTCGGGGCATCGTGAACTAGGACGGTGATGCTTTAAGATTCGGAGGCTTTGGGGAAGCATTTCCAGATCCAAATTCCCCAAAACACAAGCCATACAAACGTAGTCCGAAACCTCGGGCGCTTTGGAAAGGTTGACCCGATGCTCGCAAAAATGAATGTCTCGCCAAGCGGCCCCTTTAGGTAGTCTGCCAATGTGTCGGCTCTGCCAGAAGACGCCACCACCTGGCGGCAGCTTTGTCTCTCATTCCTTGGACAAGCCGATCGAAGTCTCTGCCTCTGCATCGGGGTAGCTCTCTTACATAGCGACGGTGGCTGCGTTTTTGTGTGCGTGTATCCTGGCTGCATCCGAAATTTCCTGTGAGGGCTTGGGTTTCGAAGCTCGTTCTGATGGAGCATTCAGGGTGTGGGGTTCGAAAGGTAAACTACGATGACTAGAAAACCTGCTCGAATGCTTAAACGGCCGACTTCTCGTTGCTAGCTTTACCAAAAAGCCTGCAACAAAAACTGAGAGCACAAGCCAAAGAAGAGCGAACGGGAAAAATGCAGTCAAACACAAGCGCAAAGACCAATCCACTTCACACAGCAGGCACAAGCTGAGCAGGAGAGGCGGACGTGTGTGGGAAGAGTTCAAGATTGACGGCCAGCATCTATCCCAAGAACCGTTGGCACGCCCATGGTGAGTAGTTACTGTCAGCGCCGGCCAACAGGGCTGCATGCGGAAACGATGCGGCCCGGGTACGTGGTGGCCGAGCTGTGCAAGGATCGCCACGGCCGCGCTGCCCGCACCCCCAGCTGCTCCCAACACCTAATGGCTGCGACACAGGAACAAATTATCGAACACTGAACGGATCCACGGCTCAGTACGGTGCAATGCATGGCAAGCCACACTTGCTCCTTGCGAATGCTAGTGGAGCCTTGAGGAAAAAGCCATGCGCGTTGTGGAGGGCGCACGAGTTGGAGTTCATGGTATATGGATTTGGCAACTTGACGATTCAAGGATGACATGTAATGGTTAAGTTCGGAAACTCTGCACCTGCTATGGTCCGGTCGCGCCGGCAATAGCTGAGCCTGACCTTTTCAATGGGGCAACTTATAAGGCCGGCCGAGACTGCGCTTCTAGATGTCCGATGGTATTCACGCTCATACAGATACAAGTTAACCGTGCCACATACGCTCAGCCAAAGAGCAAGGAGAGGGAGCAAGAGAGAGAGAGAGAGAGAGAGAGAGAGAGACCGACAGAGAGCGAGAGATACAGAGAGAGAGAGAGAGGGAGAGAGCGAGAAACAGCACAAACGACAACACAACATAACATCATAACAATGACATCGAAAAGCCGTACCGGTGCACATACACACATGTTGGATGTAGATACCGACATAGCCGTGGATATAGACATAGATATAGGTATAAGTAGAGATATACATATATACGCATGTATACACACATAAGCACAAGCAAGCAAACACATAAACGAATAACTAAATACATTTCGACACCTACCTACCTACCTACCTACCTGCCTGCCTACCTACCTGCCTGCCTGCCTACCTACCTACCTACCTACCTACCTACCGACCTACCTACGTACATACATAGGCATACACACATGCACACATGCACACACATGCATGCATGCATGCATGCATGCATACATCTATATCTACATCTATATCTATATATATATACACACATGTTAAGTAAATACACAATGTGTTTGTCAATTGAGGTTTCTGCTTGTTGTGCACGACGCAGCTGTCTGCGTGCATCGCAGGCGCCAAGACCGGTCCTGAAATCTGTCCCAGCCTGCCGGCTTCCTGCAGAAGACGAGGAGTGCAGATTCGACTGTCAAAGCTTGTACAGCTGAGGGTTCAAGATGCGTCAGGGCTTGGAGTGTAGGGTGAATCGGTGGAATTCCAAGCCCAAGCCAGTGTTGGCGGGCTCAAGGATTGCAGGTTTGCGAGTTTTGGTGGCATGGTGGCATTGGTGGTTTGAGGACTCACCCGAATCTACATACTCGATCTTTCAACCTGTTCTCATTCTGACCATCTAATCTGTCGTCTTGCATGGTTCTGCCTTGGCCCCATGGGAACAAAAAACAGGTGGACAGCCCACACTGATGTTGGTCGCTCCTCCAGCTCCATGACCATCTGCATTGCTGTAAATCCAGCTGTGCCGATCATCATGCACTCCTCACAGGGTTTTGTAGTCGTAAGATCGGTCGCTTTCCCAGCACCGCACCCTAACACCTATGCCCAAACTGCTAGGACCCCTAGGCCACCCTGACCCAACCACGCCAGTTCCCTCAGCCCTTGCTGGACTCCTCCAGGGTGAACACTTTCGGCTTTGCAACCAGCCATTCAGCCTAGCACAAGGCCAGAACTCCAGGACCTTGCCCTGCTGCACGCTCTAACTCTTCCCTTCTGCTGCTCTTATGGCTATGAGTCTATTATGAGGTTCTCATCATTTAATAAGTTCCGGAGAAGCGGCTTGGCTAGGCAGCAACCTTTCGAAGAACCTGCTGCTTTGCGATCGTCCATCCAAGAGCCACGCGACCAGAACCCACTCTGAGTGATCGTACATGAACTGCGATATGTGTACAGGAACATGCCTTGTTGCGAGAGTACTGGTCAGTATTCATAAGTTCATAGTGACGTTTGAGATGCAGGGTTTTAGTATATTTTCGTCCGTGCTCTAAGGTATCACGAAAAAGCCGCTTCCCGCCTGCACCCGGCAGAATTCAGCATAACCTCCATCAAAGTGCTGGCCAATCTTGTTCCCTGTCAGCACAACCTGCACACAGTGCGATTCAACAGGGGTGTGGTCTTCCGGGTATGGAGCTCAATACTGTCACCAAAGGAGATCCTATGCCGGAGCTACATCCCATAAAATCTCAAACAATCATCCCTAAACTCCCTAAACCCTATAAACCCTTAACCCCGATGGCACAAGGATCCGCTTTTGCCTCGTCCCCTGGCTTCCAGAGCGGCGAGTGACTCTCAACCACCACCCCGGCTAAGTCGATGCCAGGTACGATCCTCGGAATAGCACCGCCCTAAAGATTTAGATCCCAAGCTTGAACTAAGCCGCTAAGGCTGGCTCAAGACTGGAGGCTGCAGTCCAACGTCCAGCTAGCCGGCTCAGTAGCCGCAGGAGCCCCTGTAAACCTGGGGTACTTATCGGTTCCCAGCTCCCATGTCGACCAACACCCGAAAATTGAGGGCGCATTGGTGTGACACATTCGAGGCCAAGACGCGGGAATTTCCGAACGACGCCATGCTGACCCTGCAGAATCATTGCATCCTGAGAATGCGACTAACATCCCACCAATATTGGGGGGGGGGGAGATCATATTCCAATTCCCTTGTGGGCTTTGCCCGGTCGTCAGTTCCTCCGGTGACACCGGTGACATCTTCCGGAATCCTTCATCTATAGGGTGTAGGAGCTTTCCATATCAATCCTGGATGTCCTCATATAACCCCGTATGCATTTCAGGATTCTTCATCTCTGGCAATGACAGTTCAGGGCCCCAGGCCTCAAGTTAAGAAGCAGGTGGAGGAAGGAGCCGCCCTTCGGGGCTGCCGGCGACTTCAAGAGATATCTTGTGTTTCGCTTCCATCGGCCCTGCTGCTTTGTGTGTGTGTGTGTAACTATAGTTACATAAATATATGTATACATATATATATATACATGTAAATATATGTATATATATATAGATATATGTATGTATATATACACACATATATAGATGTATACATATGTAAATGCAAATATATATATATATA